CGGGTTTCCTAAATTAAAAATCCCATTACTTTTCTTCCAAGAGTAATTGATTTTTAACGATTCCATTGCAGCCATACAAGACAGACCTACTGTGAGACCTACTATTAATCGATGATACATGCCTTTGTTGACGACACACACACATTTTTTTTTTTTTTTTTTTTTTTGCTGAACTAAAAAGAAGTTAAAACGCAAATTAATTGTGATGCATTATTTTAATCTACTGGCATCCTTATTTTTAAGATGAAAATGATGTTTAATAGGTTTAACAAAGCAAAATCCCAATCTTCCCCAGTACATCCTGTAACCTGCTTAAGTAGGGTTGAACTAATGACCTTCCAATTAAAAGCCTCAAGCTTTAACTACAACAAAAAGAATAAAACAGATTAGATTTAGCCACCAACACTGCTACCCTAAAGCATTTTTTGGCATGTTTACAACTTTTATTTGTACAATCTGGATTCAAACTCACATCATCTAAAAAGTTTGGGTCCACCTGTGCTAACCTCTAGGCCACAGTTATAAACTTCAAGCACTCCAATTCTACCCGGTTCAGATTTGCAGAGTAAAAAAAAATAAATAAATAAATAAATGTTTTATTGTACAGACACATTTAATCCCGGATCCTGCTGGTCGCACAGATGCCTCCCTGCCCTCCTACTCCAAGCTTTATTCTCACCCCCCAGGACCACACCATCCTGTCTAACACCTGTGCTTCTCAATACAGAGCGTTGGTTAAACCAACCAAACAAACACAGCAATGCCAATGGCACCTGCCAACAAAGCCACCAATAGCCAGTTATCCAAATCACAGTGGACTCTAGACATCTAGATCAAACACAGAGGCCAATATAACAGTAAATCGTGAAAACATTTATTTGAGTTTATATATATAAAAAAAACAATAATCCTTGCAACTGCTTAGATACAGAGCCCAAAGAAAATAGGATTCATTAAATGTGGTTCACAAAACCTTATTGTTGAATTTAAATCAATTCAAGAACTGAGGAACAATGACTGAAAAGAACAAAAAAGAAACTGAGGAATTCAAGATCTCTTCATAAAATTTGAAAGTTTTTAAACTTTTCTTGTTTAATTGCACTCCAAAATACACAAGGCATAAATCATGGATATGGGTTGGAAAGATAGATGCGTCATGCAAATTGGATGCACTTCGAAAGGTCAGCAGCAAGAAAGGTCAAAGTTGAAATCACTTTGTGCTTGACCAGCGCTGTGGGGTAAAGCTGAAGCAGAGTTCAATGCACTGGCCAATGCTAACATGAGTCATGTGGAAAGAACCTCAAGAAAAACAACCTAGCTAATGTTAAACTTAAAAAGCTGAGTCCAAAATCCAGGTCCATTGACGTGTCAATGCACGTCGCACTGGGAATTCACCAATTATCCTGTAACATACGTGCTAACTGTGTGTCTGTGCTTTACACGTCACCACAAAAACAATGCAATTACTTCCACTACGATAGAAACAAGTCATGATCTCTTCCTAATGAATAGTTCTGCAGAAGAGCAGGTCACAGAGGCTAGCGGAGCTCTTCTCCATGAACAGAAACCAACAGCTAATTGGCTGGTTGCTTCGGCCTACACAAGCCTGATCGGATAATGAGCCTGCCCTTGCCCTCACACAACCAGGCATCCAAGCACTCCCATGGCAGCATCCGCTCACACAGCCACACTTGTAATCGGCAAGTGATGAAGAGAGGGAAAACAAGGGGTGGGGGAATTGGGATCAAAGAGAAGAACAGGAGAAAGGAACGAAGCCCCCGGTGCTTACCACCAGACAGCCGCTTGTGTCAGCAAATAACAGTAATTAAAAGATGATGGGATAAGAAGAATTTTTATAACACACATCTGGAAGGATCAAAGCCATTTTAAGGGTGCGATGAAAACGTGGGAAGCACGGAGAACACCAGGAGCCTGCCTGCGAGGCACATGAAGGAAGACGTAAACAAGCCGATAAAGCACAGAAGGTGAAAGTGGCTGTAAATGAAGCACATTATTGAGATGGATATGGCAGCTCGAGGCTAGATCTGCCATTACATCTGATGTTTTTATCTTAGATAAAACATATAACATGTATACAGAATGAGGCAAACTCTTTATGCAAGCAAATAGATATGAAAGTGAGGCTTCTGCCATTAAAGCACTGTTGTACAACTAAAAAATTTTTTGTAAAGGGGAATCAAATCATCTCCAGCATGAGAACCAATGCTGAAAATTCAGCTTTGCCATAACATTATGTAGGATATCAGACCGAATCAGACAATCTAAGATTTGGTCAAAACATGGTTGAACATGAGGAGCCAAATTCCACAGAGGCCCAAGACACAGGATGTCGTAAATCAGATCCTGGCGCCACAAGCCTGAACCAACGAGCAGCGTTGAGTAGCTCACAGCATTTAAACAAAAGAACACTTATTGACAATTCCAAGGAGATTGTCAATTTTGGGGCAAGTAAACAAGATTAATGGTCAAAGAGATGCACATGTAAACCAGTGATAGTAATCACGATCACGAGCTCTTCGGATTTACTTTTCCCCCCACCTCTGAGACAAAGAACAGACTGAGATTCCTTGCAGACATTTTAACCTCTCTGGTCTTTACAGAACATATCCTTACGTCCACAGAATGCTACAGAAACTACGTGTTTCTCTTTCTCTCTCTTATTCCTCCCGTTTCTCACTTCTTACCACTTTATCTTATTTTACTAGAAAGGGAAATACTGACTCACAATTATTAATGGTGCCAAATCCAAATTTAATTAAACATTAAATTTATTTGGAATCATTCAAATTTCCTCTCTAAATTTTTTCAATGCGAGGGTTAAGTGATTGATGGTTGTTTAGGTCTATGCAATTATACATATTGCTGTAAACTTGGGATTTCACATTTTCATTCTCTTAAACTAATTATTTCCTCACTTTCTGTCTTTCTGCAACTTGTGTGAATGCGTGTGTTTATGTGTTAGATTAGTTTATATGTCTTAGATTTATCCAATAAAGTTTTATTGATATTGAAAAGAGAAGTATCTTGTTTTGTGCTTACAAGTTAATGTCTTAAGCTGCCGATCTTGTTACTGTGCTAATTAATAGTGTTTTCACTATATTTTGGATATTAATATCCATTGCAGAGTTGATGTTATACGGCTCGTTCAATGAATCGCTGGCCGTCTCAGTGATCAGCCGTAAAACAGTGATTCTGTCCAAATTCCCTTTAAAATCTTAAATGATTCCCTTTGAGCTAAATTGACCTGTTTCCCTTACAATGAATAAAGTACATTTTTAAATATATTAAAAAAAGGAAAACAGTTACTTTAAATTGGAATAACATGTTGCAATATTCATGTAGTTTTGCTCAAATAAAGGCAGCCTTGGTGAGCATAAGAGGGCATGTGTAGTATTTTTCATAACATGTTTGTATTTCTATTCTACACTAGTCTGATGTCACTAACCTGTCCATGGTTTTAAGTTAAAATAAAATTTTAAAGATTTTTACAGAATGTTTTCAGAATGAATGCGCAGAAAGTGTTACAATTCATTGCTGTCCCCCACTCAAAATTAAACATCTATGCTCTACAACCTATTTATTATAATCACTAGAATTTTATAACATATCATCCACAAATCATACTGAACATTTGAATTTAAAAGTCCAAAATGAGTGAATTAATGAAATAATAAACCATTTATCTCTTCCTCGCTGCTACTATGTACTGTATGTCCAGTGCAGCTTATGGCAGAGCATGTTTCACGTTTCCTGTAAGGCCTAAGTTAAGAGAAAAGAACTACAGAGAAAGAACTCCAATCCACAGAGCATACATTTCACACTTGAAATCAACCAAGGGTAAAAATGCCCCTCTTAAACCAAGACTGCAGAGGAAAAGAGCAAAGCGAAAAGGGTAAAAACCCTTAGTAAACAAAAAAAAAGAGACAGACACAAATTTTTAACAAGCAACCATTAATTATGCTTTTAAAGCAGCCTCCATATTTTGTGTCTTCCAGAGTGGATGTCTATCACCACAAACAAGCTTTGAAACATCTCAGAGGTGGCTGTGAAAGACGAAAGTGTCACAGCCTAGATCTAATATGTGTGAACACACACTTGAATATATTAGAGAGCGTTCCTTATCCATCTCCCCCTACTGACCCATCACTTTCTCTTTCATATGCTCATTTCGCATGTTAAATTTAGCAAGAGTGGCCTTTACATAAATGCATTAGCCATATCTAAAACATATACTATGAAGTGGATACACGCATGCAGATTTTTGTGCTCATGCGCAGCAGGAGAAATACACATCATCTATCTAGCTACAGGCCTGAGATTCCTCCACAGTGAGGAGTAATCCTCTGCATTACAAATGAGCTCTGAAGGACACTTATTATTCCTACATCCAGAGAGACTTTTGATTATTCACACAGCCTGAAGTGGGGGGATTATCATGGGGGCAGGTGATACCTGCTCACTTCTCCTCCCCCTTTCGATGTAAATGCAGCATGTGTGAAACATCTCACAATTCATTCATTTTGATAAAGTTGTAGCTAAATTCACCCTCAGCTGGGTCTGTGCCCAGGGCACTGCAAGAAGGGCCGGTTAGTGTCCAGAGATCCTGTCTGTCTAGAGCTCTGCAAGGTTGGTTATGTTTACATTTTCTTTCGTTCACTGCCTTTTTCTATCTTTATCTCGGCCCGACTCCATCCATAACTCTCCCACTCCCTCTCACTTTCTGACACTTTGCCAAGACTGTGAGACATCAGTCTTACTAGCTTCCATTGGCTGCCAGTGACATCACCAAAGGCTCCGCACTGAGAAATACTGGAGGGCATTTTTTCACTGACCATTATTGCCTCCCTGTGTTGGTTCAGGGTAATGCGTAAAATTCGATTAAAGGCTATGTTCAGAATAGCATACTATCATACTACTATTTATAATTCTATAATACTTTCACTGTGAAAAATAAATAAAAAACACCTGGATGACCTTCTAGATTTGCAAAAAATGCATTATTCAACAAAGAAACTGGGTAATCCTACTGTAGACTGCCATTTAAAAATTTGGGGTCAGTAAGATCTTTTTTCTAAAGTAATCACTTTTATAAAGCAAGGATGAAATAAATTGATCAAAATTAAATTGATAACATTTTATTTATTTCTATTTCAAATAAATGCTATTCTTTTGAACTTTGTATTCATGAAGAATCCTTTATAAGCATCACAGTTTCCATCAAAATATTAATCAGCACAACTGTTTTTAACATTGATAATAAAAAGAATTATGAAGGATCACGTGACAATAGTCACGTTTACATGGACACTTTTTGTTTCAAATGGAATGAAATCATTTCAACTGATGAATCCGAACACAGTGTTTATATGAACGCTAAAAGAAGTTCCAAATGTAGATTCGGGAGGAGCCTAAATATTCAGTCCTGCCAATGATCATTACGAGCGAATATAATCAGCAGTCAGTTCTTCTGGCATCCCTCCACCTCCCCATCTCCTCCTCTAATTCTGTTATTCTCCTCTATGTAGTACTGCAATGGGGGGGGTTGAATTCGGAGCTCAAGCAAAGCCTCGGGTTCGAGCCTCCATCGAGGACAGCAAGCCAAGTTAATTTACCATTAACCATCAGGACTGGATGTGCAAGCGATCTCGTGAAATAAAGTGATCGGGTTGATGTGCACATTTATATGTCACAAGCTTCAAATCAGATTTAATCTTTTGACATGCACACACTGCACAAATATACAGAGTTTCCCGCTGTTTTTGCATACTAACCATCCTCCCTTTCTTTGTTTTAAAAAGCAGACTTAATATTTATCTATTTCGGGTCCTAATTAGGAGACGACAAGCACATGAAGCTTTGTGCAATGATGCTTATATTAATCAAGCAGTAAAAATGTCCATTCCCGCTCCCAAAACAAGACATCTGCAGATGAGAGTTCGAAGCAAGCACTTCTGGCACAATGTTATCCTGCAGCACTTTACAGATGATGAGTGGAAAGAGAATTTTTGATTGACCCAACAGTCATTCATTATATTCAACAACAACAACAGCAGCTTGTTCTGTGTCATGAGTCATTACGCCATTTCTACGTCATTGCACGTGCGCAAAACTTTCCATTTTTGGTTTTCAATCCGATCAAGTGTTTAACATATCCTATCGAATGGATTAGAAAAGGTTTATCCCACCCCAAATTTCAATCGGTTTGGGCAATTTTATTCTGCAAAAATTCAGAGCATTTTAATTCAGATTGGACTTTTAAACCAATTGTAATCGGAATACAATGCTCTATGTAAATGCACTTACTGAAGAATGGAGTCATGGCTGCTGAAAATTCAGCTTTGCCATCACAGAAATAAACTACATTTAAAAAAATATATTAAAACAGAAAACAGTTATCTTATATTGTAATAATATTTCACATTATTACTATTTTTACTGTACAGTATTTTTGATCAAATAAATGCATCCTTAGGTAATTAACTGGCATGTGTTATTTTCAATACCTTGCGGCTGGTGTAGTGGGCATGTTTTGCCAGTTTTCCATTGAGAGCCTGCAGGAACATCTCATCCGTCACCTTCCCCACATTCATGCATGCCTCATCCAGGACTGCAAAAATTCCCTTATGCTGCTGTTCCACCAGATCCACGATGATCTGATTGTTGAAGTAGTCAATCTGTTTCCATGAACACACAAAAACAAATCACAACAAAGTTTATTTAGTTATTGCATTAAAGTCAAAGAGATTCATGCAAAATGAGTTTCTTTTTGTATAATATAAACAGTAAAGATGTGAAAAGCTTGGGAAGAAACAACCAAATAAAACCCACATGTTTCCAGGGGATGCCCTCTCTTTGATACTCTTCTTGCTCTTGTTTCAACACCAGTTGAATGAAGAGCTGCTGTAGTTTCTCATTACAGTAGTTTATACAGAATTGCTCAAAGCTGGATAAAAAAGGAAGAAATCGGAGAGACACTAATTATACTAAACAGAGCAGAATAACATGCCCAACTAAGATCCTCATATATGTACGGTAAAGCATATGCCCTCACCTGTTATTCTGAAAGATCTCAAACCCATAGATGTCCAGGACTCCAATGACTGTGTTCTTCCCATGAACCCTGACATCATAGTTTTTCACCTCGATGATGTCATTGATTCTTCCCACAATCCAACAGAACAGCCGCTCATAAATGGCCTGTGAGAAGCAAATAAAGAAAATTGGTGCATGAAGAAACGTACATGCGAGTAGTTTAGTCAGTCAATTAAGTTTGTCTTGGTCAAGCTTTTTATCGGAAATTTAACAGCTACAAAGCGATTGTTTTCATTGCAATTGAGAAAAAAAAAGGTTAAAAAAAAGATACATTTGCAAGCATATAAATATATACACTACCCTTCAAATGTTTGAGGTTGGGTAAAAAAAAAAATTTCACATTGAAAGAAGACTCTTATGCTCACTAAGGCTGTATTTATTATCGGTAAAAACATTAATCTGTGAAATGTTATTACAATTTAAATGAAATTTAATTAAAATATTTGCTTATTTTGTGTAAACCATGATAATTTTTGCAAGAATATTTGATGAATAAAAAGTTTAAAAGAATACCATTTATTTGAAACTGAATTTTTTGTAACATTATAAATGTCTTTACTGTCCCTTTAGATCAATTTAATGTATCCTTGCTGAATAAAAGTATACATATTTTTTGTACTTACCCAAACATTTGAATGATAGTGTGCGTGTGGCATAGAGTAGAAACAATAATGTACAGTATGTGGAAAATAATGTGTTTTTTTAACCTTAAACCGCATAAACACATTTCATTACACCAAATACACAAAATAATGTTATTTTTAGCAGCATCATATGGCCCCTTTAAGTTGTAATTTTTTTTTACAATTTATAATTAGTTAAATTTACAAGAGTTCAACAAATAATACAAATTATTTAGGGCCTTTAGAAGTTTTAATTCAGACGTTGGCATGTAGTTCATGTGCGATTTTTTTGGTCCAGCAGTTTTATTTACAGCTGTGTTACCACAGTTTTAGTAATGAGTCCCAATTCATACCTTGGCCAAAGCATCACGGCCATAACTGGCCTCTTGATGAGTGTGCTGTTTGTCAATGACATCGCGGCCGGTGGCCACAGTGCGATAGAGCAGAGCCTTTTCTACATTTTCGTCTTTGGTGGACAGCAAATCCCCCAGAATGGACACCAGCTTAGAGTTCTCAATGAGAGTCACATCTCCATCACTTCCAAACTTCAGATTCCCCTGGAAAGTTCAAATAATTCATCAATCAATTAGTTTGCACTAGCTGCAGTTAATAATACTTTTTAATCAAGCTTAGGAAATACTAAACCAGATGCAAGATGGTAGCCAGGATCTTGTAGACTGTCTGAATCTCCTCTGTAGTGAATCCAATGACCTTCATGGCATCAGTGACAGCTTTCAAATCAGCACTGTCATTTATAGACGACTGCAAGATTGAAAAGACAATCTGAGTGAGTTACAGTCACAAACAAAAGCTGACAGATCCTGATACATTAAATAAAGTTAAAACATCCTCTTCCTGACATTGCTTCTAATTCCTGACATATGCTATTAATTCAGCTTTAGGGATAACAGCCTGGTTGGTCTTTACCTAAATGTAGACTGGCTAAAAGCCCTTCATTTAGTGAAGCTAAATCAATGCTTTTGAAATGGGAGGTCATTAAACCTACTATTAAATGCACATCTAATTTATAGCTGAGCAATTAAAAGCTGAAAATTGCTGACACAGCAACTCAGTCACTAGACTTCCTAAAACAGGAGCGCAACACTCAAAACGCTAATTATTCTGGCATGCTTATGGCTAACAGCTCCTGCAGAGAAACACTGATTTCATACAGCAGGAGCCTTTTGCAGCCACAGTCGTGCTGGACAGAGTGTGAAGTTTAGCCAGCATGTGCACCAATAAAAGACTTGGGAACTGGCATGAAATGTTCAAAGCACTCCAGGCTGTTTGTTTCAGACCTCTGTGAGCTCAACAAACCAGGCTGTTCCATGACGACACCTTGTTTGTTGCTCTAAATTTGTTTTTGTGCCCGCTCATTAAACTCCCTGCAGAAGCAATGGAACAGTGCTAAGTCATCTCACCTCTTGACTCAACAGGCTAAAGATATGAGGCAATTGCAAATAGGTTTTAATATGCACCATCAGTGTCTACTGTACCCATAAACAACTAAAATCAAATTCCCTGCACATCATGTGTGATTGCTCCGCAATGGTTTTATTTTCCCAAGATGCCAAAGGTCTCGAGATCCTTTATGATGTTTGTAAAAACCCAACAAAATTTTTCATATAATATTGCACAAACCTTGCCACCCATAATAGTCTCTTTTAATTTGTACATGATACAATACCTTTATCTGGCCTCCAACTTTGATGTAGGTGTATGCTGTGGGGTCTCTCTGAATGTGCAGGGACCGCAGCTGAGCATCTGGAGCTCCTTTCACCAGCTGAAAAATACATTTAAAAACACATTTGACTTTCCCCACAGGATCCTTTCTCCTGTGTTGATATGAAGAAGCATGTAAATTATAGTCTTGATAATAATGGTATGCAGAGCGTTAACAATCAGATGGAATTGTTCTGATGTTTTGAACATGTTTTGAAGCAATAGGACATTATTTTGTGGGAGAAATAAAAGTGAGAGATGATTGGGCTTTGAAGGCTCTGACAGAGGACTCATAAACACAGGTTTGGTAGGATTTGTCTGGTGTCTGGAACGGCTGGCAAAACAAAAACAGCTTTTTAATGTCTGCGCCTGCGGTGAGTCCTTCACTCACCTGGTAGAAAGAGTGGAAACTCCTTTCTCCTTCCTGCTGAAAAATGACTCGAGACTATGGAAGAAATAAAAAAAAGGTGTTAGATAAAGATCATATAAACTTATAATATACAAACATTTCACAGCCTCTCCAGCACACATTATATTAACAAGCATGACAAAAGTGAATGGTGAATGGCCAAGCAAAATGGTCTGTATCATTGCCAGGGTGTCGTGGGTTGTTGTCAGGGTGTTGCTACGCAATTGCGACAGTTTTTTTATGTTTTAATAATGTTTGAAGTTTTGTGTGTGTGTGTGTGTGTGTTTAATAAGTTACTAAATGGTGCCAGGTCATTTCTAGGTGGATGCCAAGGTGTTCTGTGTAGCGTTGCCATGGTGTTATAGGTTGTTGCTAGGTGGTTGCTGCTAGGTGATTTCTTACTGGTCAAAAGAGCCATGATATTTTTATCCCTAACTGTTGAGAAATGGCTCTGTCCCTAACTATGGATAAGATTTTTGTTCAAATCATTAACCCTGAGTATGAGCAAAAGTAACTGCGAGCATCACTAATAAACAGCTGGAAACACTATACTCATGGATAATGCAAGAGAGTTGGGCTGCACGATTTGGGGGAAAAAATATAATTGCAGTTTTTCTGATAAAAATCATTTTAAAACGATTAAAATTGTTAAATAATGATGAAATTATTATTATTATTATTATTATTATAGTCCAAATTCATAATTTGAATTTTTGTTTTATTGTGCTTATTTATGAAATGTGTTTATTACTACATGAAATTAATGAACAAAATAAGAAATATTACTATTGTAATATTTTACTATAAAATAAAAATCAAGCACTTAGCAACGAGTGTTATCACTATGTTGGAGACATGCTAGCTTTCCCAAGGCAGACTAACTTAGAGTGATTACAATCATCCTCCAAAACAAAATCAAGACTTTGTAAAAGAGCATAATAGGACCCCTTCAAATTGCAGCCTTTCGTGATTAATTAGTTAAATCGTGATTAATCGTGCAGCCCTATAAGAGAGGCACTTCTATTATTTTTTATACATTTTTTAATCAGAGTTTAGCTTTATTTTCTCCTCTTTAGGCCCCCTACCTTCTCAAGCAGGTAGTTGTTGATATGGCCGCCAATGGGGTCTCCCTTAAAATCAAAGTTGATATCCATGTACTTGCCGAACCGACTGGAGTTATCATTGCGGTTGGTCTTGGCATTCCCAAAAGCCTCCAGGACGCAGTTGGACTTCAGCAGCATGTTTTTTACCCTGTATAAACACACTCTTTTCATTTCTACTGCATTTATTAGCCACTTGTGCATCAGTTCACCACTACAACTAAACGAGTGTCAATATGAGGTTGATAGATCTGATTGCTCCTGACATTTGGTATTAGAGTAAATACACAAATCTGTCTGTATGAAGCCTTTATGTGCAAATATACATGGTTATATCTGGCTATTTTAGTGTATATAGTATCACCATGTGGTATCCCAGCATGGCAGTTAAGAGTGTTTTAGTGGATGATTTATAAGGTCTACTGTATGGGTCAGACCACAAAATGCTCAGCATTGGTTCTCCTGCCGAAAAGCCATGCATGACCTACACTGCACATTGGAGGAAGGTGCCCCACTCAGTGCCTGACAAGCTGAAATACCTACTGCATCCTGTACAATTCTACTTTGCTTTTGCGTTGGACCTTTAGCACAGTATTGCCCAACTTCTTTTGCTTTAGGTATCCCAAAAGCCCAATCAAAGTTAATTATTTTAACTTCTACTTTGCTTTTGCTTTGGACCTTTAGCACAGTATTGCCCAACTTCTTTTGCTTTAGGTATCCCAAAAGCCCAATCAAAGTTAATTATTTTAACTTCTACTTTGCTTTTGCTTTGGACCTTTAGCACAGTATTGCCCAACTTCTTTTGCTTTAGGTATCCCAAAAGCCCAATCAAAGTTAATTATTTTTAATGATCTTTTAATGTTCTTAATAATTTATTTATTTTAAAATCATAATTCCTGTTTTACAGGTTTAACAAAGCAAAATCAAAGTCTTATTTACCCTCTAAAACCTGCTTAAGTGCCCCCTCAAGTATATGTTATCCTGGTTGGAAATCACTATAGACTACAAAAACTGCAATCAGTGATGGATGCCCCTGTGTTTTGGCATAACTTTAGATGTACTTCCTGGAAAATATTTTCCAGTGATCAATGCCCAGTTTCCAAAGAGCTTTAACCTTTAGTAAGCAGAGAAAATAAACCATATATTCTGGGTGCAATAACACTGATATGAGATAAGCTGATAGCACAAAACACTATTCATCTGACAATGGATAACAGTTGCAAAGCATGGTTTTATTGTTATTACTATTGCTGCATAGTTAAGACAAAAGAACGAAGGTCTATGTTACATGTTGCACAAGAGCCATATATAAAGATCTTTATGATTAAACATAACATGCCCTACATATTCCTACACTGGGTGTTAAACTTCTCATGCTCCACAATTAAAACAGAGATCAAGCAAAAAGCATAGCAGAGTTTCCTGTCATTTATTTATAAAGCTCGACTTGGATCAGTCATATTTCAATTAGCATGACCCAGTGCTATTTTAATCTCTACCCTACATTTCACTTCTATCACTCCCCGTAAGGAAATATATTATTTATTCACTTACTACCATGAGAAATTTCACTTTGAAAATTACGTAGGAAAATTAAGTTGAAAATGATATGATAATGAACAGCAACTACATAATATAAAATACTGAAATGCTCAGTGGTTGTTGATTATAACATTAAGGAGGCATGCTATGCAGTATGGTCTTAATATGACTCATCACTGCAGCAGTGAGGAGAAAGGAACATAGGGATGCACCGATACCGATACTGGTATCGGTATCGGGCCCGATACTGGCCTCCTGTACTCGTACTCGTACTCGTTAAAATGCCCCGATACCAAACGCGATACGGTATCGGTGCATCCCTAAAGGAACAGAAAGGCTTTTGTTGTACGTACCTCTCCACTTCTGCTCTTTGGCTGGGATTGGTGATAGCAGCAATATATTGCATAATATATTTACTAGCCTCCGTTTTTCCAGCTCCGCTCTCCCCTGCAAAGTAAATAAACAATGACTAATACTTGTATATTGGTATATAATATGATTTAATAAACTGAAGTAACCAATTATAGTCATTCCAATCTACAATGGAATTCAAATGTCTGAGACCACAAGTAAAAATGCTTCTATTTTGCCTTTTTTTTTTTTCCATTTTTTAAATAAACATTTCTTTTTCCAATTTAATATTTTTTCTTACACTACTAATAAAACTAACATACCAATTTGAGTGAAAAATTAACTAAATTTTTTTTATTTTTTAACTGCACTGTACACTACTGTTCAATATTTTAGGGTCAGTAAGATTTTTGTTTTAAGTAATGAATACTTCTATTTAGCAGAGATGCATTACATTGATTACACTGATCAAAAGTGGGAGAAATGAAATCTGTAATATTACAAATGTTACAAATAAATGCTTTTCTTCTGAACTTTCTATTAATCAGAGACTATGTACAACAGTTTCCACAAAATATTGAGCAGCACAACTGTTTTCAACATTGATAATAACAAGAAATGTTTCCTGAGCACCAAATCAGCACATTAGAATGATTTCTGAAGGATCATGAGAAACTGAAGACTGGAATAATGGCTGATGAAAATTCAGATTTTGCACAGGAATAAATTTAATTATAATAATATATAAGAAATAAATATAAGAAATAAAAATATATAATAAATAATTAATTATAATTATTTTAATTAAATTAAAATATATTAAAATAGAAACAGCTATTTTAAATTGTAACAATTGTAACAATATTACTGTTTTTACTGTATTTCAAAGAAATGCAGCCTTGGTCAGCATAAGAGATTTCTTTCAAAAACAACAACAACAAATAATCTAACTGACTTCAAACTTTTGAACAGTTGTGTAATTACATTACAGCTATAACCATAACATGAAATATTAATTATTAAAAGTATCAAATATACATTTTACATTCCCCTGGCAACTGGGAAAAGGGTGCAAACAAAATAATCCAAAGCTTACACTTTTCTGAGTTGTTTGGTATGGCCCTTAACCACAACCACACAAAAGCACTCATGGAATTTATTGGTTAAACAAAGACATAAAATGATGCTCTCACTTCTATTACACCTTACTCTTAATAAATAAACATGTTCCTCTGTTTGCCACAAGATGGCACCACATATACCAAATATTTTTGCAATGTAGTCACCACCTGTGGTCACTCACTGAATAATAATCAATGTTTACTTATAGAGGCAACATCTAAATGGACCAGATTATTTCCCTTGAGCTATGTGCCCCACCTCAAAATAGTTCCACAGTGTCCCAGATGGAAAACAAACACTGTCTCAAAGAGACATTTTTGTAGAAATTGTGAAACAACCATATTGTCGTTAATCTTTTTCACACAATGGGCATGTCTTGAGAAAGCAATTTGCTCAAGCACTGAACTCAGCGGTCCTCTGTGACTGGGAAACCACACACCACGTCAGTGCCCAGCTATTCTCGTCTGACCACAGATCTAATCACATCATTCCCAGTCATACTGCGGCCCCATAAGAAGACCCCGAAAGCCTGTGTTCCAGTAAGGGCTGTTATTTAATCAAATAAAAGGAAGACAACAGGCTGTTTTTAATATTATTTGAGGATGAAGTAATGCATTTTTCTCCTTAAAATGTAATATTACTTCAGTGGCTGCTCCACAGGTTCACCCATGAGTTTGATGGTGAGTCACAACACATTCAGATATAGTCTACCTGAGATAACAATGCAAGTGTCTTTGTTCCTCCTCTTCATGGCTTTATATGCAGCATCGGCGATGGCGAAAAGATGTGGTGGTCGCTCGTACAATTCTCTGCCTTTGTATTGCTCTATGGTGTCCCGTCCGTAAATGTTCATGGCACGGTAAGGGTTAACTGACACTACCACTTCTCCGATGTAGGTGTAGATACGACCCTTTTCAAACCTGCAGCAGAAAGACAAGCACATCATTGATCTGCTGTATTCACATTCATGCATATTATGGAATATTTATTTAACCATGTCTGTTTTTATTTATTTAACAGATCTATTTGGTTTGTGGTCAGTGTGGTTTGTATAATCATATTTCAGAGCCTTATGTAAAGAAAGGGCAGTTTAATTAATTATCTCTGTCAGGAATCAAAAGCAAATAAAAAGCACAGGATAGACAAGGTCATGTTTCATGAGCTGTATAATCTGTTTGTCCAATAATAAATCCTTCTGAAAGTACCAACTTGAATTTCTAGGCTTGTTAGTACTCAACCAGCACAGCAATGGTGTTGACTAGTCATTCAGAAAACCCAATGACTATTATATCTCCATACCTATTCTAAACTCCTTGGTCACATATAGCCAGAAGTTGACGTTCACCCTGCTTTGAAAAAGCTGGCTGTTCTGAGCTCCATCCTCAGGGGAACCTCACTTCCTTGTTCTTCCAAGCAGACCTGGGTCATGCTTAGAATAAGGCATCCTTTCTTCTCAACCTGTGGGTTTGCCAAGCCTCCCTCAGCTCCATCCTGCCCCAGTCAGTGAGCTTAGAAGTTTGAGGCATGACCTCATAGTCTCATACTGAACTATATTATTGTGCAGTACTGAAGCTCTGAATGGATCTTGGTCTTTTAATTTTCAGGATTCCAACTCTACTTAATTAAGTTCAAACATCCAGGTACATGTAGAACAGTTAGACTCAGTAGTATTAAGAACAGCTGCAATCCCAGGAGAGTATCTTAGTTACGCCCTACAGAGCAGAAATGTACCATACAACTACATTCACACAAACAAGTCACAGGCCTCAATTCCCTCAGGTCCTTTCACAAATACAGCAGGGATTCATAGAATTAACAGTGATCCTTTAGACCAGAATAATCACTATGGACTAGGGGTGTGACGAGACACTTATCCCACAAGACGAGACGAGACACGAGACTGGGTTCACAAGAACGAGACGAGATGAGATTTTTAGACTTTTTTTAAAGAAATCCTCAATGATGAAATATATAGGGAAAATAGTATTTTATTCTTATTAATTAAAATCATTAAACTTATACATTTTCACATCAATTTATTAAAAGTTTAACAAAAAGTACATGTTTAGGGCCCTATGAAACGTTTTATTTTTTCTCACCATATTATTTATATTTTTTATTGTTACCAAATTCTGTGTTTTAGCATGTCTAATTATTTGAATGCATAAAACAACTTAATTTATTCATTTTTTTCTTAAAGTAGCCTTACGAATTTTTTTTCCCCTCAGAAATTCTGTGTTGTATATTTAAAATTTTTCTGGTTATCAAATGAAGGCATAAAACATTAATTTAATTTATCATTTATCTTTTAATTATTGAAAATTAAGCAAACAAGATTTTTGGCAAACAAAGGGGATTTACTATTAAAATTAAAACATGGAAAATAGTTATAGGCACAATGTCTTCAAATCAAACCGGACTTTTATTTTGACGGGTTTCCGTGAATATCTTTACAGTTCTGTGTATGAGATATTACTAGTTTTACTCAAATCAAACGCTAAAATGCTCATGAAGTGACTCTCAGAGCAGTTCTGGAGATGTTGTTCATGTGTTTACGTCCTCGTTTAGTGAGACGGCAGACGCTGAAATCACCGCGAGTGTCACATGCACGTCTGTGCCATTCATAAACAGAGACAGGCAGAACATGCAGGATTCATATTTAAATCGACTTTTGTGGCTTAATATTTACAGATACTAGTCCATATCGTGATTTGATTCAAGTGTAATGACCTACTTTTGATTAATTCATTCAAAATTTGACAAATTCCGTGACATTCCGCGTTAAACTGTGAATTCTGTTTTTATGACTGGATAAAGACTATGCTGCGTAATTTTCCCACTTATCATGCGGCCACTTGCCTGATGTGAACAAAATATCTTACATACCACCACTTGTGAACAAGCCAGTGTATTGCATATCTGAAAGGTCTGGGCGAGGATATCGTCACGTTCTCGCGAGACCAGTCAGATATCGCGAGACACATCAGATCTCGCGAGATCTCCTGCCACGAGATCTCGTCACACCCCTACTATGGACACATTCTGAAGTGTATAAAAAACGGATTCAGTCAGATCCAATTGTGCACTTGGTGCGCATACTTTAAACTCACCCAGTTTAAATCAACCAAAAATGAACATTTTGTCAACATTAAGTCACCCTTTAGTTGTAACATTTATGTTACAAAAGACTTCTATTTCAAATAAATGCTGTTCTTTTGAACTTTCTAATCATCAGAGAATCCTGATAAAATATGTATGTTTTCCACAAAAATATTAAGCAGTACAGCTGTTTTCAACATTGAAGAAATGTTTCTTGAGCACCAAATCAGCATATTAGAATGATTTCTAAAGGATCACATGACACTGAAAACTGAAGTAATGGCTGCTGGAAATTGAGCTTTGCCATCACAGGAATAAATTTAATTTTAAATGTATAAATATAATTAAATAGTAATAATATGCCACAATATTACTGTTTTTACTGCGCTTTTGATTAAACAAATGCAGTTTTGTTGAACATGAGATCTTAAAAAAAAAAAATCTTACCAACGCCAAACTTGTGTGATTATTACAGCTGTAATCATTTCACCCAAAAATAAAACTTTTCCCACCCTCGTCTTTTTTTTTAAACCAGTATGGCTTTTTTCAATTCTGTGAAACACATTTAGGAGAATGTCCAAGCTACTCTTTTCCAGATTCAGCATAGTATGAGTGCTGCTATATATCAGATGTGATGTCAAGGGATGAATGGCAAGCAGGGTGGCATGGTAGTGATGCTTGTGCCTTTGGTGGCAGCAGCCTGTCAGGCCAGCCCTGGAGCAGCCTGCATGAAAAGGCTCTTTTGTGCCAGCCTGCGGAGTAGGATGCTGCGGTGTACCCGCACCATTGTTCTTCTGTCAATGTGAGGTCTGTGTGTAAGGAGCACAGGCCAGGCCTCCACACCCCAACACAGCAGGCTGGCTCTACTCACACACATCAGCCCCTCAGGGAGCACAACGCCAACTAATGATAATGACAGAGGGATCATTTTGATAAATAACTTTATTATGTCTCATTTGTAAAATAAAATAATTTTAATAGAATTAATTTTAATAACCTAAGGCCCATATAAAATATTGTACCAAAGCAGACATAATTTAGCTTTTCACAAGCATTTTCCATCTTTTTTATCTGTAAAGATCAAAGAAAAATTTTCCACATTATATGAGTTATCAAAGGCATGTGGCCATGTATGAAACTGATATAATATAATATAATATAAATAATATAATTTTTTTTAAAAAGAGTCTATTATAAGAGTCATCACTCAATGTATGGAATACACTAAATGATACACTACCGCTCAAAAGATAGGATAGGTACAAGTAATTTTTGTTTTTGAAAGAAGTCTATCAGTCTGTCAAGCTCATAAAGACTGCAATTATTTAATAAAAAATATGTTGGAAACAGTTGTGCTGCTTAAATTTTTTGTGGAAACCGTGATTACAGATTTTATTTTTGATGAATAGAAAGTTCAAAAGAACAGCATTTATTTGAAATAGACATTTTTGTAACAACGTAAAAGTCCCTACTTAAAAACATCCTTGCTAAAAAAAATTTTACTGACCCAAAACTTTTGAATGGTAGTGTGCATTTTACTGTATTTGTAAACACAGCGGCTCATTTTTGAGCCAATTCAAACTCTAGGAAAGACACACTCATGGTATGCTTTTGTCCTTTGATACCACCATTTGGTCCTATCCTCAGGCAATGTGTGCCCTCACAAAAGTTACATTTCAGTATAAACACTGGTATCTATTGCAATTTGTGGAAACAAGATACAAGCCCTCTATCAAAGTCATAGCCAAAACATATTGATGTGATCACTTTCATTAATGTCAGAGCACACAGCACAAACCAATCCCCCATCTGTCCTCTCATCACATCTCGGCCAGTTCACAGAACCTGTCAGAAAATCTTGCTGATTCCATCACGTTTCACTTTCATCTAAAGACATGACTAACTCTTAACCCTTTAAGTTCGCCCTAGTCCTAGAGGACAGCTGCCCACAGAAATCTATTGTGCGTGTAACAAAATCCCAGCATGTCGTGGGGTGTGTGTGGGAAAACACTGAATCGTCATCTCCCATCTGCCTCTGTGATCAGATTATCAACATCTGATAAAAAGCCCACACTGAATCTGCTCTTTCAGAAATCCATAGATCCATAGATTTACGCAGCTCTAATTTAACCATATTTACAAAATGTATCAAATTTTCCCTAAAAACCAGTGTTGAAAATGTGAAAAAGTGATTTATGGCTTAACTTTGAATCAGTTTCCTGAACATTTCAGAGCATTTTGTAACATAAATAGACAAATATTAATTGTTTTGAAAGAGGAGGGATTTAAGGTGTTGTCCGGGTTTTTTAGAACTTTTCCTGGGAGTGAGCAGAGAGATCTGGGAAGAGGAGTAGGGGCTGAGGCTCTGTCATCCCTTCTTTCCCAGAAGGCCTAGGGAGGGGTTGCTGCTGCATGAAGATTAAAGACGTGTGTCAGACAGCACAGGGCCACTTCCTCTAACAGCTGGATCTACTCCACAGGTTGAAGCATCAGCGTTATTGTCCAGTAATTTATTCCTCTGAACGATAACAATGCTGGTGTACCTAGCATCGTTTTTGATCAGAGGAATAAATTTGATTCATTAAAGGGATATTTCACTCAAAAATGAAAATCTTCATGTTGTTGCAAACTATATGACTTGCTTTCTTCCGTGGTTCATGAAAGAAGTTCAGTAAGTTTCAGTGTTTGTTTGTGTTTTGCCTATACAATGAATGCCAATGGTGGCAAATGTTGTTTTGAACCCCACTGAATTTTGTTATAATGGACAAAAACAGTAAAGAAAAGAATTCACACAAGAAAGACATGAGGGTGACTAGATGAT